AGAACATGGACCTTAGTGTTGAGACTGATTCAATGTTCTTCGTATTCAATGAAACTACAATGTATTCCCGTCTCGGAATGACCTATCACCTCTCATCTTTGGCGATGACAACGCTTTTTGAAATAGGTGTATACTGCATGAGCATTTCAAACCATTTTTATCACCTTTATAGATACGACACATGAATCCATTCTTTTTATTGCAGTCCACTTCCATCCAGCGTCCATCATTATTCGCTGTATTACTGGCCTGCACACAGGTCTGTTTCGACCCAGGCTGTCCCGGTTGTCCACGTGACCAGTGGGTGTACTCCTTCACACTTCGGTCAGACCATCTGAATTCAAGGGAGTTGGTCTCTCTTGTTAGACCCGTCCATACGTCACCAGGGAAGTTGATCATGTTTCTAAGCAGGTAAGCTATTTCGAATATAAAAGTAAAGAAAGAAATCCTCGTTTAAAAAAAGATTTGGTGCATGACCTCGGTATTGATAACAAGATGGATTCTTTTTATTATAGTTGGATTTGTATAAGTAAGCTCTCGCTTTCCGTTCCAAATCGACGAAAATGTTTTTAGTTTTTTTCTCCGCAGACTCTTCGCTTCTGGTCAGTACTGAGAAAGTCACTCCTGGATTCGAGGTTAAGCCCGCATACACTCGAGTGTTAAGAGTCGTTTTAATTAACTATTGTTTTCAATGCGTACGTCTAACGAAAAGTTCGATGTTTGACCTTAGACAGTCTTAGTCCCTGCGAATAATAGTGATTCAAACCCCTCGCGCAGTTGAATTTATGATATTAGAAGGGAAGAGTGCTTCCAAATAAATGTGCATTATCTTCTGACCTTGTTCATAAGAGCTGTGGATGCTGATGATATCCCCATTCTCGTACTTGCTGCACACCTCTCTTGCCTCGCTCCACGTCAGCTTGGTATAAAACATGGAGTAACAAGCATCACCATACTTTGTAAACTGAGCCGGACAATCTGGACTTGGAGTTGGAGTTACTGTATGGAACGTATTAAAATAATCATAAATAACTGGACTTAAATCTTGCTATTTGATTGTTCAGGGCACGTGCTTTACGAGGCACACAGAACGCGCGAACATTTTCCAGATTCTTATTAAAACATTATACTTCGTGAATCTCGAAGACTTCAATGCAAAACGTGAATAAAGATTATAAAAAAAATTCTTTGTGAATTGTGTGAAACAATCTAGACTCCAAGATTGAGGTACGGTACGGAACGTATGAAAAGGACTTAAAGGAAAAGGTGTAATGAGAGAGAAAATGAATGTTTTGACTAACTAAGAAAGACATCAGTTTTCTAATTACCATTGCTTATCGTATGAAAACAAGATAGAAAATGATCAATTAGCTATATAACAATATAGATATAAGATTTCAGTAAGGCTACAATCACGCACAATTTTAGATAATGGTATGCATTGAATTCACAAGTAAACCTCTTAGCTCCTCCCATTAGCATTTGTACCTCTGGTTACGCCCTACACAGTTTTTATCCCTTCGCTCAGTTATTTTAGCACTATTCTTTTAAACCTTATGATAGAAATATTCCTGGTAGCCTTTTCTATATATTTATAATATATTCATATATTAACTTTAGTTTAAGGCCATGTTTAATTCCAAGATTTCACTCGTGTTACTCGTTATTAAGATATCACGCTCAGGAATTTACTTATTCCTTTAGCCAATCATGATTCAACGATATTATCACATTGATTATAGACTGACACCTGTCATAGAATTATTATAAATAGAGCTCATGTAATTAGTTCAAAACAGAGAGCAGAATAAAGATCCCGAAGCTCATACCGAGAGCGGTCGTCACATAACACATGTGGTAATATTGACTCACAGTACGTACACGGTTCGACATGCCGTAAAATTGGAATAACTTCCCATAGTCTAATTCATCCAATCACGTAAGGCTAAGGTAAGATACGTTACACTTTAAGAATTTGCCGCATCTTTTTCCACTAATACGAAAACCACTCTAATAATACTTAAGTGAGCAGCGGTTAGCTTTTAGACGGTCTTACCTGGTGTTGGTCCAAGTGGGAGTGCAGCTGGTTAAAGAATAATAGAGAAAACGTAAATACATCAAATCATAAATGTTCATGTCTGTGACTTTGCTTATAAAGTTCTTACCAGTCTCACAGATATAGCTCAGCCTGTAAGTGCAAGGCCTAACTCGCCATCGACCCATCCCTGGATTACCAGGCACCAGATCGACGCAATCCATCCTCCAGTTTTTGATTGGCTGCCTAGCATTCCAGTTGGTGTAAGTCACTCTGTCGTTATTGATCCACGAGAATAAATTCTCGGTATGAAGATCATTCAGACCAATCCAGAAGCCATATTTAAATTTATAGTCAGACTTCATCATGGAACTGATAAATGCCTGTTCGTATCTAGAAAACAGGAAAAATATTAATCTTCGCGCGCATGTCTCTGTACTGTGATATGAACACGCTGGAAGCTGTAAAGCTGTAAAGCGAGACGTAGTGGAGTGGTTTTCTTTCTTTTTGAGTGCTATACAGCTTCCAGGGTGTTAGATATTGCTTCTATAAAATATTTTAAAACAATTTTGCTCGAGCGTGTCTGTCTGTGTCCTCTGTATCAGCRCACGTTGTATTTCAAATATTTTACATTACTCAGTATTATAAACCGCTTATAATAGGTCATTTCACGGATCCCGTTACTCAACCTCAGCCTCGTCAGCGTGTAATTATTCTTTAGAATTTGACTACAGTCCGCWGTAATGAAAGGAATTTACACATCAACGAACAATTGAAACACTTAAAAATTTCACAGGTTGTAGGCAATTTCTAAAGAATATATTACACGCTGACGAGGCTGAGGTTGAGTAACGGGATCAGTGAAATGGTCTATTGTTTTGATAGATCTCATGAGAGCCAAAAACCTAGACGTCTGTGCGCATGTACACTTAGATTTTCTCTAGTCCTTTCTAATCTGATTCGGATATAAAAGGGTAAACTGTTTCTTACGATTAATGTTCGTTTTTATTGATATATTATAGATAACCAGGACCATACTTCCAGACATCGTTTGCTGAACCGTCGTATGACAGCGCGAAGCATTTAGGACTACGCTGGAGATTTCGGCCCCAACACCGCTATCCGGAGGAATTACAGACTGATCAGGAAGCTCGGCAGAAGCCTAAGGGAGAGGTTAGTCGGCCCCTAGACCATAAATGATTAACCCCTTGCTATGACCAGCTACCCCAGTGTGAAGCTTAAGTCCTTTCCATGTGGGATGCGTTTTGGAAAAAAATAACTTTCAAACTCAGTAGGGTAAAACTCAAGATTGAGTTTTAAGACCTGACTTTAAGTTTTGATATTTTTAAGACCATTTGTCAGTCAAAAAGTGGTTTTGAACCAATTTGCATAGAGACAGAGCATGACAGACTTTTTCTCTCGTGTCTTAGATATTATGATATCRATGTCTTACTGGTTGTTGATCGCAACCAAGTCTCCATATGTACTGTCATTGGTGCCTTTCTCACACATGGCTTTAGCGTTGAGCCAGTTTTGGGTTTCATAGCCAATAAACTTATAACAACTCTTATCGTAGTGGATCCAGCCTGGATTACATCTTCCTAAAGCTGAATGGGAAAAAGTAAAGAAATATGTAACTAAGAATGCTAACTGCCGAGGCACTTTTCAAATACATTATGTTTTCAGGCTGCGAAAAATACACCTTTAATGATACTGCGATCACGCATTCATTGTTCTACCTCCCTGGTTACTGTTGCTACGTCGGAAAAGCTAAAGTGTGTTGATATACAGCAAGGAACAGTCATCGATTGCTGAAAATTGTAAATGTCTGTCTTTAAGGTACATTAAGAAAAAAATCTATAAAAAATCTTATGAATTCGAGTTTGTTGCAATTGGTCGGACATTCTGTATTCCATTAGGAAAACTACCCATTGTCTGGGTGGACACTCAAGCATAGCCGGGATTGGACTATTCTCTACTTTCACATCCCCATAGTACTTTGCGTCTTTGGGGGGTAACCAGAGGGTAAACAGCCACTTATTTTGCTGAAGGCTGATTAGACAATGTTGACAATACCTTGTTTGGTATCCAAAAATAAAATAAAGTAAAAAAACAGAAAAGATAGAAGCTTGAAGACGTTAAGGTAAATTTTAAGCATTTTTTCGTAAGTCAATACATTTTCTGTAAGACCAAAACTCTTGATGATCTGTACACGCAAAAATAACTTGGAATAAACTGATAATCAGTATTGTACAGATAAAAGCAGGTATAGTATAAATTCAAGTAAGAAACCTTTTAATTTGGGACAGTTTTTTGATTGGTTACCTTCAAAGACGCAAGGCATTATGGGGATGTGAAAGTAGAGGATAGCACAACAACCCAGCCCAAGATGTGTTTGTCTGCCACTATCGGAGATTTGATTGATGGAAGCCAAAAACCCAGTTTAGTGGGGAAGCTAAAAACCCAGCTCATGTTGGTGTACTAAGAAACAAGTTGCTTCTGAGACATAGGTGGGATGTTTTCGACAGCCTTCCTAACAGCTATAGCTCTTATCTTTATTATAAATATAGATACTACTATATATACTTTGGTCAAATCCAACTAGTGCACGTGGGCTATCATGAATGCTGCGTTCTGATTGGATGAGCTACTACTAGGCTATAAGTTATATCCTACTAGTAGCGAAAAGTGCCGGCTTTGAAAACCAAAACATTAAATTCAACTCTAATTCAAAACTTGTTTGCATCTATATTTTTGACTGACTAGTCGGATTTGACTAAAACACTTCAGGCCTCTCTCCCTCATGGCCTAATGAGTCAATAGCCCATTCGAGCTCAAGGACTGATTGCTAAATAGCTACTAGTTCTTATCTGTTGCCAAGATACAAGACTGATATGAGGGTATACTTACCAGGTCCTGGTGTGGGAGCAACTGTTGACGGGGGAGTGTAGGTATCTACCAAGAAAGGAATATAAGAAGAAATTGAAAAATAAAATAAATATTATATAACGGGAGACAATTTTTAGGGGAGGGGTGGRCTTACACTGTACCAACTATATCTGGAAGTGAAATTCTGGAGTTTGTCTTGAAATATCTTAAAGTATAAAAGCTAACTCAGAAATGAGTGTATTGTTGTTTGCATATATGTCGAGCAACGTATTCGTGTACAGACCTCTTGCACGTGACGTCAATGGAGCTCAATTTGGAGGACAAGACCAAATAATTTCAATCTCCTGAGAATTGGAACCTATTGCTTTGCCCTGCAAATTGAGCTGCACTCTGAAGTGCTGTAAGGAGTCTATACAATTAGACACTACGAACACTCAATATCGAACATTCAAACATGAGGGGCATTTACTCCTTGGGTCCCGGCAACGCCCTACCACAATATCATATACAATTGTGAATTCCACCTTGTTAGAAATACGTCATTTAGCATGAGTGATATTTTGGTTTAAATGATAAGTGCTTGGTGTCACTTGACGTCATTTCCTATCTGAATGTTCATCAGCGTAATCGCAATTTTCCAATAGAATAGACCCTTTGCAGTTAACGGTCACGTGTCTGTACTGGTGAGCAATAATTTTTATTTCATTTCAAATTGGTGATTCTTTTTAGCTACTTGTAAAGAACTGATTGAAACAATGTGTAAGCAGTGTGTTACGAAACGTAACAGGTTATAGAAAGTTTGTTTGCTCACCAGTATATTTCACCCATGGGAATAAAGATGTTCATTTGCTCTCAGTGAATTAATCAGCACGTGATTACTGAGCTGCAAAGGGCCTATTATTTCTGGCTGACACCATTTACAGCRTACTTACTGTTATGTTTTTTGCACACGAAGGGCAATCTCCTACTACACAGGTTGTCATTCCATTTTCCATTCCACTTCCACAAGTGTAAACAATCCTCTTGTCCTTGGTAGTTATTGGGTTCCCGCCAATCATAGTTTGCGTACGAGAAAGGGCGCCCATCGCTCCATTCGTAACTACCTTCCGTACCAAGATCACTTAAGCCAATCCAAAGACCATAATACCGATATCTTTGTCAAAAATATATAAGTATATATCAATGTAAAGACAAATTTTGCTGAGTTAATAGTAGAATCAGCAGTAGTAAGGCAATTTACCCGTAATGTTTGGCCATTTCAGACCACGTGTCATTCCCTTGAGAATACGATTCTTTGTTCGAGTGGTATACATATTCATGTATCTTCTCATCCGCGCCGAAACCGTTAAACAAAGAAATGATAATCTAGGGAATAACACATGGTATAAAATGGGAGGGGGATTACACTACTGAAATATAACAAAAGGAAGATGGTCCCAAAGAGTTCAAATAGGAGCTGAGATTTGCTTCGAATTTTGAACTGGAAAAAAATAGACTTTGATGGATTGAGAATAAAAGACAAGCAATTAGATATGGAAAAAAAATCTGGATTTTTGCGAATTTCTGGCATTACTGCGATTAAGACATTGCATAACTTATAAAAAGGGAATTAGAAAAGATATCGAAATGACCTATATTTAGGAATTAGTCCTCCAGCCCGAATGGTCTATTGACTCATAGGCCACGAGTGCGATAGGACTAATTGTTTTAGTCAAATCCAACTAGTCGGTCAAATATATAGATTCAAACGAGTTTTGAATTAAAGTTTAAGTTAATGTTTTGGTTTTAAAGCCGGCACTAGGATATAACTTATATACTTAATAGGATATAACTTAAAGCCTGGTAGTAGCTCATCCAATCAGAACGCAGCATTGATAATAGTCGACCGGATTTGACTATAATATCGGTTATTGGTAATAAAAAAGGATYCAGGGAGCGAACTTTACTTGCTAGACATAGCTAATGAAATAATGGGTTTCACGAGCAATAATGGCGCTACGTACGTATACAGATATGGTTTTGCAGGAGCAAGAAAAATACATATTTGGACAAAAAAACTTTTTGCCAAGCATTTTAGAATGCAATATGGTTACTAATTAGCGAATTTCAATATCTAAGACAAAATCACCAGGAAAATATTCGACTAGTTGTCTGGTGCCAAGTTCGCGCCCTGGACCATTCATGGTATAGGTCACTTGCGCTACTGAATTCCCAATCTGGGGTTGCATGAAAACAAAATAATTTCCTTCTCTTGTGGGTTGAATTCTTTTTTAATGCTAACATTTAATTTTCATTGTTTTGAACCCAAGGTAGGGAATCAGTTCAAAGGTCTTATACTCCAATTTCGAGTTCTCTGCTACTCAGGATTATTCTCAACTTTGTGCAGAATATTCATGTGTTCCAGTGAAGGTCCGTGGAAGTATTTGTATTGTTGAAGTTGTGTATTCTTTACTTTATACCGTTGGTATTTGAGAACATTTAGACACTGATTCGAGTCTAACCCTGAATCTGTTATCAAGGAACACAGCGGTAATTTGGAACTCGAAAATGGTCTATTGAAATTCTATTCCMCTTAACTTACTCTTTTCGAAACACCGAGTAGATATAGGCATTTTCAGCAGCACTAAGAATGCTAGCCAGGTCTCCCCCTGCTTGTCTACACATTGTCCTCGCGTCGAACCATGATCGAAGATTTGACAAGGTTTGGTTACTAAAATGATAACACATTTGACGCCAATACCTCCAGCCTGAATCACAGGTACCAGGTGCTAGTAAAAATAATATAACCCGAGAATTTAAAAAAGAGAAATATTTGAAAAGGAAATATAATAGATGAATATAGATTACTTACGGGCGGGCGGCTTAGTCGGAGCAAGTGTTGGTCGTACTGTGGTCAGGGGTCTGAGAGCTGTAAAACAAACGAAAATGTCTAATTAATAAACGTTTACATCAGCATAAAAAAAAGAAACAAAATAATTAACCTCACACGTGGAATACCGTGTTGCATAAATAAATGAATGTACGAAGAAAACAAAATGGATTAATGTTTGAATGGAAAGTCGGACGAACAAATGGATGGACGAGCGGACAAATGGATGGTTAGACAGACAAACCGTGGATAAATGATGGATGGGCGAACGGAAAAACGGATTGATGGATGGATTGATGGATGGATGGATGGATGGATGGATGGGGTGGAATGGATGGATGGAAGGGGGGATGGATTGAAGGACAGGTATATCGACAAACACTTGTAGCCCTATGGTGAACGTTATCTAGAATATTCTTGTATTTATTCATTTGGACTAAAAAGTTACTTACGCCTCTTCATTTTGCAAATATAAGGTCTGGTTGAATAGCATCCTACGTCATACCAGTAACCTGTACCGATAACCACAACACAAGGCTGCTGACCAGAATGACTGTCAGGCTCTAATGGTCCCCACTTGGTGAAATCCACAGGACTCCCATCAGCCCAGACATGACCTAAAGACATTAGCAATGAAATACTTTGAGCCTATTTCGTCTTTCATCGCAAAAATAATGTACTTCTATATCTTGGGCATAACGTTTTCCTATTGCAGACCACGAGTCACTGCGTTCCATAGAGTATTATTTCTTTGTTTGGCGGTTGCGAATGACAAGACACTTAACCAATCTCCTTAGGGTTAGGTTTAGGTTTAGGTTTTCCCCACGAAGAAATGGAGAAAATTGTCATTTTTTGCCTCAGAAAATTAACTATTTTACTACGAAAAACAAGTGGAAATTAAGAGAGAAAAACAGACGTTTCAAGTGCGCGCGCGATTTGCTGACGTAATTTATCGGTATGTCCTCAAATCAAATCGATCTCTGGTTGGTATAATAATGACAATAGCTTACGTCATAGCATCTATAGCCATTAGTTCTTAATTTATTCATTTGATAGAGGCCATTGAAATCGTATGTTGTTTCGCGCGGCTTTCGTGAAATTTATACAAGCATTCTTGGAGTGCCACCATATRACCGAAAAATCCCTTGACATATAGAAAACCATGAAACAGCCGCCATCTTGGTTGATCTAACACTACAGGCTTAATGAGGAATGCTTTGTGTAGTCAACCAACATGGCGGCTATGACGTAACATGCAAACGGCCAAGAATGGGAAGGAAAGTGAGTGTGAATGATRCCCTAGACAATTAACACTAAAATAACATGCATTTTAACTCGGCACAAGTACCTGCAATAGGACCTCGATCATTCAGACCAATCCATGCATTTACTGTATTATTCAACAATCCCTGCACAAATACGCTCTCTGCAGTATCATGGATACTGATGAGGGCTGTGTTCTTGTATGCACGGCAAGAGTCACGAGCAGCTGTCCATGTTCTCCTGTGGTTTCAAAAAGAATCAGTCAGTTACCGTTAACCAAGTGATTTGGGAGGGGAGGGGAGGGTGGGTGGAGGAAATAGACATTTGGTTCTCACTAACGTTTGCATGAATAGTCTGTAACAGCCCATCTTATATGCTTTCCAACCAGCGGGGCACGAGGTAGTCGGTACTGTGGAGACAGAATAAACCAGACATTCAAAATACTGGTGAAAGATAATCATGCAAATACTGCTAGACAATTAGACAAACGTCACTTCTGTTTTTAAATTTCATGGTTTTCCAAGTCCCGGATTTTTTGACTCTACAAAAATTATTATTTGTACATCAAACGCGAAATACTTTTCATACTTACTAACTGTTGGTGCAGGTGTGGGTTTTGTAACATTTCCTGACATTGAAAAAGAAAAGGGAATCATGAGAGTCTTTTTAAATAACTAATTACACGGTTATTTATCTCCCAACCTTTCCGCTCAATCCCCTAGCTACACTCAATCTATAGGTGTACTTTTAGCCAGTTCAAGGTTAGAATCACTATCTCCCCAAGGATATCCACAACACCAGGGTCGGATCCAGGGGGGGTAAAAAGGGATGTCTAGTCACCCCCCTTTGTAATCAAATGTCTCAGTATATCTTTAGTAACAGTCCCGTCCCTTTCCTAGAATTCTTGGTAAAACCTTTGTAAATGCCCCCCCCCCCCTCCCCCACTCCTAAAATTCCTGTATTCGCCTCTGAACACCCATTCTTACTACTTACTTCTAAATTTATAACAGACATAAGCCAGTTTAAGGTTGCAATCACTATCTACCCAATACATCTGATCTCTATTACTCAACGTCATGGTGGCTCGTACACAACTACCATTAGAGTTTCTGTCGTTTGGTTCACCATTCAACCATTTGGTGTATCGAATGGGCTTGTTATCCAGCCATCGATAGACCCCACGTTGCCCGATATCGTTGAAGCCGATCCATACATCACCAGCGTCCCATGACTTTATCATCAGACTTGTAACAAGTGAATTAACTAGTCTATCATGTTAAAAAAGGAAAGTAAGTTTGCAAGCTTAGAGCAGTTTTCGTATGACTGGGAAAAGAAATGAGTGCCGGTAAATTCGTAGCTGTATTGTACCGTAAGTGCGTGCTGCAGTGATTGGATAAATTCTACAAGAAACTGGGAAGCCATTTCAATGTTACAACATGTCGTGCTGTAAGTCAGTACCATATACATATAGCTTACTCATAGGAAAACTATAACAAATAGTCGGCGAAACATGTTTTCTGTCGAATGGTGAGAACAATGTGTTTGGGAGCCGAAAGTCAAAAGAGATGGGGAAAAGTTTGTTTTTAAACTTCTAAGAATTTCAAAGTTTTATCACGAGACAATCACATTAGAACGAGGATCGGTCTAATGTATAACATAAATAATTGACTTACTCAAAACTGATAGAGGCTAATACAGAACCGTAACTTTTGCACGAGTCTCGCGCTTCAAACCAAGTTTTCTTTTCCAACATGAGACCAAAACACGCAGCACCTGATGGATACCTTAGCCATCCTTCAGGACAACCAGGGGTAGTCACGGGTCCTTTATGAATAAATGCAAATACAAAACTGATATGTATAAGCAAGCACGACATAGTCTACGTGGACAACATGACAACGGACGCGTTATGTAGTATTATGCTGTACTGCTCATGTGTGGACATTTAAATCCACTTTATTTTCCCTCCCTCCTTCATTACTTTCTTTTCTTTCTTTATCCTTTTCTTCTTTTCTTCTTTCGTCTTTTTTCCTCTCTCTTGCCCTCCTCGTCTCTATCTTAATCCCCCTCCCTCCCTCTCCCTTCTTTCCTCCCTCGCCCGTTCCCTCGCCCGCTCCCTCCTTCATTACTTTCTTTTCTTTCTTTATCCTTTTCTTCTTTTTTTTCTTTTTTTTGTATTTTTTCCTCTCTCTCTCTCCTCGTCCTCCTCGTTTCCATCTTACTCCCTCCCTCCCTCTTTCCCCCTTCTTTCCTTCCTCGCCCGCTTCCTCCCTCCCTCCGTCGATGTCTCCCTTCTTCCTTTCCTCCCATACTTTCTCTTATCCTTCCTTCCTGACCTCCCCTACTACCTTTATTTGTTTGCAAAATTAAACACGAAGAGCCTTTGACTTATTTACGCAAGGACACACGAGTATTTTCTTTCGTCAAGGGCGGATCCAGGGAGAGGGTCGGAAGGATGGGGGAAGGGGGCAGTCCGTTTGGCGGTCGAACTGAACAAAAATATTCTCACCTTACGCTAGAACTTAGTTTATCCACAAGTTTGAAGTAAATTTTGTATGAAGTAAACGATTCGACCCCCCCTCTCAAAAATTCGAAATCACTGGACTCGAACACTTGAAATCACTGGACTCATTATCAGTTAACAAAGGATAAAGCTGACGTACCTTTTTTACACACGTAGGTCACATCAAGATACTTTCTTATAGTTCTACAAGGATCTTTGCCCATGAGAGCATTTGTCGGTCGAACCGAACAAAAAGCTTGTCCATCACACATGTGTTGTAACCTCTGCGTGACGTTCAAGCGACAGTTGGTTACACTGATTTTGCCGCAGAGCCCTGGATCTGTCCTGCCATAATTAGCACTTTGGACTGATATCACAGTAGATGTTGGACAACTGAGGATGTCTGAAGTCCATTCACATATGATTACTTGACGAGGACCTAGGACGAGCAAGGAGAATCAATAACCTGCTTCCGACAAATGCCTTGCTAGTCACGCACAAAGGTTTCCTGTCTTGTGCAGAAGTTTTCAATAGAATTCTTTCTGGCTTACAGCACATGGTGGTCAGTGTTTGGCTACCATGTGGAGCAGATAATGAGATTCAAAGACTTTTATCAGCTGGTGAAACCCAGCAATGTGAGGCATCGTGCATAATGCTCAGTGGTTTGTGACAGGAAAAAATAATTAATTTAATTTAGCACGTAACCTCGTACTGAAACCTTAGTGTGTGATAAGCAAAGCATATCTCGGAGTGGACTATTCAAATTTTATCAATACCCGAAACAACTTCTGGGCTAATCAAAGTCAGAGAACGGCTAATTCACAGATTGGAATTTCATTTGTTAGGTTTTGCGGAGAGAGGAAAACCGGAGAAAATGCCTCGTATCAAGGAAGAAACCAGTCTAAGTATCTACCCAGAGGTAAGAGGCGAGTGCATACCCTGCGAGCAGATGTTGTTTTTCTTTTTCTTGAGTGGCAGGCTTATCGACCTAAAGCCATAACGGAGGACAGGAAAGACCTCTTCAAGCAGGGTAGCGAGTAAATCATAACCCTGGTAAAGACCCTGTCCTTGAGCGACATATTAAATAAACCAATCTAAAACGATTTCTTAGTCGAAATAGCACTAGGTACAACTGAAGGGGATGGATGGATAATTGCAATTGGATAAGAGAGGTTTACGGTTTGATAACATACCCATAGTTGGCGTTACTCCTCCAGAAGGAGAGTATTCTGAAACAGTCAAACATACAAAAACGACGAATAAAGAAATTATAGTTACAGAAATATTTAAAATAAATTGAAAAAAAGATTGATATTAACAGTACTGTTCTTTCAACGAGCTTTTCTAACGGAAGAAGGAATGAGAAAGACAAAAAGGGACGCACCTTTTTTTCGTTTGCAAATGTAGGCCATGTTAGTACCACAGTCGATATCATTCCAGCGTCCAACTCGATAAAATCTCTGGTAGGTATGAGCACAATCCTCTCCATGCGTGTACCAGTTATCAGGCTGATAGTTGTACCAGTTTGTGAAGCGGGCTGGAGAACCATCACTCCATTCCCACACACTTTCTAATGATCTGTCATGAAACCCTGCAAACAGAACATCACAAAGAATAGAAGTTTACCAAGGGTTTTGACGACATCTACTGGACCAATCACATACGACAAGATTGATTTATTCATGTATTTAACTTTGACCTGTTTAATAACACAATAATGAAAATATATACAGTTTACAACTTAGGCAGGGGTTAACACACTAGCGCTAGGATCTAATAGACTACTTCGACGATACGGCGGCCATCTTGCCAGGAAGTCAAACAAAACGAAGATGACGGAAAATATATAGAGTTTCGTATTATTTGCCCCCCTGGATGCCACACATTGTATTGCGATCCAGATGGCCGCCATATCGTTAAGTGTGTCCAATTAAGCGTATCTGAGATTACTGATAGTACTGTAATAGGACTTGAACACGCAAAGTAACGCAGTTCATATCAGCTGCACATTGGCACGGTTAAAGTATCGGTCACAACACCTGTACGCAGTCAAGGTTTAAGTAACGCAATTCACAGCACTTGAACACTGTCACGGGTAAAGTAACGCAGTTCAAAGCACCTGTGCACATTGTTACGGTTAAAGTAACGCAGTTCACAGCACCTGCACACTGTCACGCGTAAAGTAAGTTATCGGAGGTTCGGAAATTGTCTTAACTTATAGGGTGTGTTATAAGAGACTCACTTACCGATCCAGGCAAACGTGCTCAAGCCAAAGTAACTAACTTCCATGGTAATGTGGGCCTGCTCGACTGGGGAAGTAATGCTGACCAAGTCACCACCTTGATTTTGACACTGAGTACGTGCTGATGGCCAGTTTTTTTTGGCATTGTTGAACTGATAACAATACTGACCATATTCTTTCCAACCGAGTCGGCACTTCCCAAATTCTATCAACAATAAAAATAATAATAATAATAAGAAACCCCTCTAAAGAATTGCTCTATTTCACTAGCTATGACTTCACAGCTTTATATGGGAGAAAGAAAGATAAAAAAATAATATTTAAAACAAAAATAATACAATTTTTAAATAGATTGTTTTAGTGACGTGAGAATGAAATAGGGCAATTGCGTTTTATGAAATTTATAAGAGTAATTGTGAGTCTTTCTTGGTGTTGCAAGGTGTATTGTACTCAGGGTTAGGGTTTTTGTATTGCAGGGTATTGTTTAGCTCCTAACTCATTGTTCTTTGCTGTTGTTTTATTGTCTTTATGGCTCAAGTGCATGCTCTGCAACACCAAGAAAGAGCCGTAATTGTCAAATAAATAATTGTATGCATCGACTGTATTTACTGGAGCTTAACACTGACGATGTTGTGTTAATATTTTTTATATATGTAAATCAGTATATAACACGTGGTTATTCAGTTAATAAAGAAGGTCGTGCGGAAAACACACACGACAGTTAAACAACACGAGGTTGAGTAATGCGGCAATTGATAGATGTGTTATGGTAGACCTCAGGCAATAAGGTGTGTATTACCTGAAATAAAGATGTCTGTGATTTCTGAAGGATCCAAGACTCTATACCAAAATGCAAGTGATCGCATGAAGAACACACCCTGAGTTTTGCCGGTTGATTTGCTTCCTATTGTTAAAGCAAAGTTATTTGTTGTACCGTGGGTTGGAATGAGTGTTGTACCTGAAGAGTCAGAACCCCTGGAACAAGAAGGAAAACATTGTAAGGACGATACAAACGTTCTCTCAATCTACCCGCGCTTCCATCCATTTAAACCATCCATC